GGACATGTTGTAAGGAGGGAGAGGTCCTTGGAGAGGTACATCATGCTTGGGAGGGTGGAGGGACGGCGCAGAAGGGAAGACCCTTTATGAGGTGGATTGATCCAGTGTCTGGGGTAATTGGGATGGGTGTGTCAGAGGCAGTGAGATTGGCACAGGATAGAGCACAGTTTAGGGCTGTTGTACATAGTTCGCTATGAGTGGCAAGCGACTCGATGGCACATAACAACAACAACAACAACATACATGGATCTGACTTTATCTAGTTTTCATGCTGTGCCCTTCTTAATTAATTCTTCCTGTTCTTGTTAATCAGGAGAGGTGCTTGTGCTGAAGAGCGCATCTAAGTAGGAGGCAGGGAAGCTGGACACTCACCCAGTTCATCCTGTTTAATAGCTGTATGATCCAGGGCAAGTAACTTTTAGATTTCTCCCATATATAAAGTGTTTATTCTAAACGCGGAACCCAGGATACAGATAATATGATAGCACAATCATTTTCAGAAAAGTACATTGTGTGTGAGCTCTGGTGGCCTAGTGGCAAGAAGCTGCACTGCAATGCCAGAGGTACAAAGTTTGAATTCATCAGATGCTCTGCTGGAGAAGGAGGGGCATTCTCCACCTGTACCAGTCATATCCGATTTGACAGTACACACACACACACACACACACACACACATTTTCTTTTTTAAAAAGTAGATTTTGGTTTTCAGTACTTTATGCCTTTGCTAAATAGTTGTTGCTGTTGTTTGGTGCCATCGAGTTAAGTACGACTCATAGCGACCCTATGAACAATAGATCTGAACTGAACCCTGTCCTATCATGTGCCATCCTCATCATCTCTGACACACTCGAGCCCATTGCAGCAGCCACCTGGTTGAGGGTCTTCCTCTCCTTCTCTGCCCCTCCTCCTTTCCAAGCATGTCCTTGTCCAAGGAATAGCCTTTCCTAACAACTTGCATTAAGTTTGTGAGACAAAGTTTGTCACCTTTGCCTCCAAGGAGCACTCAACTCAAAGAACTGGCTAAGTAGAAAAATGAAGATGTGGTTTATGTGAAAAGACCGGCAAGTGATGACAAGTTACCACTGAGAAGTTGCTAGAATATGAAATCAAGGGCCCCTTCTCGTTTCGTTGGGTGTCGCCTCCCTGTGCTGTGGACCCCCTCTGCCCTGGCTATCGAGTCTCTCTGATAAAAATTAATCTAAAGCCCAAGAAGTCAGGACAGTTGTTTTGGGGAGGGTTTTGCCTACGTCACTTATTTCTCCAGATATGCTTCATAACAAAACTGATTCAGTCTTTCTGCACTAATTTCATAAGGTTGGATTTTGTCGTTTTATAATAGCTTTACAACAAGATGAAACCCATTGCAGGGAGTCGATTCCCACTCATAGCAACCTTATAGAACCTAGGAAGCTGCCCCATAAGACTTCCAAGGCTGTCATCTTTAACAGAAGCCAGCTGCCACATTCTTCACCTGAGGAACAGCTGGTGGGATTGATGCTTTTGATTATTAGCTGAGCATTTACTTGCTGGACCAGTAAGCTCCTGTAGTGCAAATCTATCTAAAAGGCTAAATGGCATATTTAACACAGTTTTAAAAGTTTGTGCTATGAATTACAGATTTCATGACAGCTAATAGCCAAAACCTGATAAACCATAAAAGTTTTTACAGCTTTTATTCACTTTATGCAAAATAAAATCTTTACATAATTTTTTCATAAATTAAGTGACCTATATAGTTTATTTTGCTTGAGTAAGCTTTGCATAGTTAACTTTGCATGAGTAATCCATAAAGACAATTTAGAAGCTTTTCTTTCACTAAAATAGAGATTAAATGCTTGTATTAGAAGGAAAATTAAAACATTAAAGTCAGAGGTTTTAGCTGTAGAAGGTCAAGGACTATAGTCTGCAATACGGACTGAAGCTCAATGTCAAGAAAACAAAGATTCTCATCACTGGACAAATTGGCAGCTTCATGATAGATGGAGAAGAGTTTAAGATTGTTAATAATTGCAGCTTGCTTGATTTCACAATCAACATTCTTGGTATTCAGCAGTCAGGAAATCAAAAGATGAATTGCACTGGGAAAGTTTGCTGGCAGGGACCTCTCTAGAGTACTGAAGAGCAACGATGTCAGTCTGGAGACTAAGCTGCACTCAAGTCAGGCCATGGTCTTCTCAGTTACTTGCTGTGCATCTAAGAGCTGGACAATAACCAAGGATGATAGAAGAAGGATCAATGCCTATGAGTTGTGGTGCTGAAGAGTGTTGAACATACCACTGACTGCCAGAAGAACAAACATGTCTGACCTGAAGAAGGTACAACCAGGCTGCTGCCTAGCGGCAAGGATTTTGAAGCTCCATCTCACATATTTTGGGCACATGGCCAGGAGGGACCAGTCCTTGAAGAGGGACATTATACCTGGGAGGTTGCAGGGACAGTTCAGGAGAGGAAGACCCTGGATGAGATGGATTGACTCAATGACTGGAGAAATGGGATTGGGTCTGTCAGAAATGATGATATTGGCCCAAGGTAGGGCAGGGTTCAGAGCTGATGTACCTAGGGGTTGCTATGAGTCTCAGGTGACTCAATGGCACATAACAACAACAATTGTTAATTATAATGTCTTTGTATAGATAACATATGAAAGCTTATTGCATAAAAATGGTTTTGTTAGTTTGGTTTAGCACCTAATACAATACATTAACTTACGAGATAACATGGAGCTGCTCTTCCACCATAGTACTCGTCTCTTAGGATATTTAAAGTTGATGTTGATGTTGTCAACATCCTTAGTCTGTAGTCATATAAAAAGTTCCTTACATTCTCTTTCTTAAAAAGTTACTAATACCTGAAGTTCATAAGTAGAAGCCAGGTTAAGTCTATATAAGAATAAATAACTTTTTAATCTGTACTGTCTCTAATCAAAGAAATACGTAAGTTGTTATTATGTACCATAGAGTCAAAACCAACTTATAGCTGTTGACATCACATATATTAAAATTGGAACAGAAAGAGTAGATTAACATGATCCCTGCATAAGGATGACATGCAAATTCATGTTGTTGTTGTTATGTGCCGCCAAGTCACCTGCGACTCATAGCAACCCTATATACAGCTCTGAAGCCTGCCCTGTCCTGAGCCAGTCTCACTGATTCCGACACACCTACCCCTATGAAGCTCTCATGTTTTTTATAGGGAGCTCTGGTCACCTGATAGTAAGGAGTTGTGCTGTTGGCCCAAAGGCAAAAGGTTCAAATCCGTCAGCCATTCTACAGGAATGTGCCTCTGAAAACCCACTGGAGGGTCAGCTACATTGCTTCCAACTCAACAGCAATGAACAACAAATCACACTGGAGGTTGTTGTCAGTCTGTCTCCTGCAGCACAACTGGTGGAATAGAACAGTCTACCTTTGGGTTAGCAGCAAAAGTCCTTACCACTAGGCTACCAGAGGTCCCTAGAAATATAGATAAATATATAAAAATGACTGCTCATTCAATCTGTACATCTTAAATATTGAATTCAGCTCATTCCTAAAGTATTAATTTAGACGTAAAGATTCCTAATTCAATTCAGAATTACAGTATAAAATTTCCCTAATTACTAAAACACTAGAATGATTTTTGAAATGTTTTATAAGTTATTAAAATTAGTTTCTCAAAGATACTATAACTATCTACTATTATAACTTTTGGTAAAATACAACCATGTTTTATTTTAACTCAAGAGAACTTGGCTTCATTTTTCAAGGCTTTGCTGTTGCTTTCATTGAAAAAAACAAAACAAGACAGTATTGTCTCACTGCTAAAACCACGGACTACCACGGACTGTTTACCGTAACCCAGTATCTCAGCTTCTTGTTATGGAATATAAATTCCTGTGATAATGACAATATACATATAACCCCGCATGGTGGGATTTTGTGTGTTTGGGAGTATGAGTCACTCCCTTAACCCATGTTTATCTGCTTGGGCTTTGGCTTTGATTCACGCACTCACAAAGACATATGGGTGGCATGTTATTATGTTGACTATCATATTTCATATAGATGGATCTTCCTGATGAAGAACCTGATCGATTAAGCAACAAACTGTTACAGTATGACCCCAAGCAAGACCAATGGACAGAGCGAGCCCCCATGAAGTACTCGAAGTACCGATTCAGCTCAGCCGTAGTAAACAACGAGATCTATGTCCTGGGTAAGAAGTAGATTTACTAACAGAAAATAGAACTACTTTTTCTTTTTCTCAGCAGTTTCCCTCAGTAAAAATGAAATATTCCTCCTTTCTTTTACATCTTCGTTCAAATGCCTGCTTAGCTAGTGAAAAATGTTCCTTCTCCCTAGATTAAATAAAAGTCTCTGGGCCTTTTGAAAGCAAAATTATTTTTATGGCATTTTCCATTGCCTGGAAATACAAGAACAGGAGCAATGTATTTCTTATGTATACACTAACAAGTAAAATACTTAAAAATGGGAATTACTGTCACAGATTATGCCAGACCTCTTCATTTTTATGCACTCAACAAATTTCTGTGGCAGTCTTCCCAAATAATACTCATCTGACCATAGTTTTTTCCCTTTACTGTTGATCCTCTATGACTCTGTTCTAATAAGCATGGCTGGGTGAAAGACTTCAATTCACTTCTGCTGAACTAGATTAAAATGAACTCTAACCCCCTATATTTCTCCTTTCCTATTCACTCTCAGATCTTTCCTTTTTCATTAAGCAAAATTAAGTTCACTAAAAACCCTGGTGGCACAGGATTAAGCAACTGACTTCTAACCAAAAGTCAACTGTTCAGACTCACCTCAGTGGAAGACAAACATGACAGTTTGCTTCCATAAAGATTGCTTGGAAGCCCACAGGTCACTATCAGTTGGAATTAACCTGATGGCAAACAAGTTTTGCTCTTCTAAACACTTTCCAACTCCCTAATATCAATGGGCTTCTATTACCTTTCCCCCTTTCCTAAATTGGGGAAAGAAAGAGACTGAAATGTTGGAGTTTTTTTACACATTTTATTTTCTTTTTGTTTTGTTTACTACACATTTTAGAGATGAGTCCCTTGTTAGATGTCTCATTGCCAAATTTTCCCCCCACTCTGTAGGCTCTTTTAGTACTCTTTCGATGCACAGAGGCATTTATTTAAATATTAGGAAATACCAATTGTCTAGTTTATCCTCACTGTTCATTTCTTGTTATATTTTATTGTCTACTTATATCATAGATAAGGCTCCTAAATTTACTCCCATTTTTTTTCTTTGATACTCTTTATCATTTTAAGTTTTACTCCTAGTTCTTGATCCATTTTGACTTGGTTTTTGTATAGTTGTGAGGTGTGTGTGACTCTTGTTTAAATTTTCTGCTAATAGATATCTAATTTTACCAACACCATTTGGAGACTACTTTTCTACCACTTAATGGATTTCATCTCTTTGTCAAAAACCAGCTGTTCGTAGGTGGTGAATAGATTTGTTCTTCCTAATTTTAATATAATTTTTTTTCTACTAAATGGAGGAAGTCATTATCTCTTGACTGTTTATATAACATGAAACACTGAAATATCAAAAGTTGTTTTATGATTTTGAGGCCAGACTATTATACAATAGAATTAATGACTATCTCAGTTTTGGAATTTGTTTGCAATTAAAACTTATTCTGTAATAAATATTCTCTTTTCTAAGCTATGTGGCAGTTCCAAAAGAGACAATATCACGACAATACAATAGTACAGACAAGCTATGATAGACTGCCTAGGTCAGACATGTACCTCAAGGGTAGAGGGAGGGCTGAACTGATTATATTAAGAGTTCAAACTCATTGCCTCAAGTCAGAGCTGACTCTCCAGCAGGTTTTGAAGAGGCTGTAGATCACTTGGGAGGAGAATGCCTATCGTTCTGACGTGGTAGATCAGACAGCCGGAAAGGTGCCAACTCTGGGTTAGTGGTGACACTCCCTATAGACTATGCCACCAGGGCTCCCTTAATAGGAGTTGTTGTTGTTGGGTGCCTTTGAAGTGAGTGCAATTCATAGTGACTCTTTGAACAACAGATCTGAACCTTGCCTTTTCCTGCACCATTCTCATCATCTCTGATAATGCTCCAGCCCATGGTTACAGTCACTGGGTCAGTCTTTCTTATTGAGAACCTTCCTTCCTCTCTTTCTCCAACCCTCCAATTTCCCAAGTGTACTGTCTTTTTCCAAGGACTGGTCCCTCCTGACAACATGTCCCAAGTATTTGAGAAGTCTCACCCTCCTTTCCTAGAAGGAATACCATGATTCTACTTTCTCCAGGACAGACTTGTTTATTCTTTTGACAGTCCGTGGAATATTCAGTACTCTTCTCCAACACCAAAAATTTAAAAAGTGGGAGACATACATGTGTCAATGGACCCAGAATGAGATTTTCCCTAATGTGAAGTCATAGCCAATCTAGAATAAAGACTATGTACTATTTGTTGATAAATTTAATTAGGAAAGACACTTAGAAATAGTCTTTGGAGCTTACATTTGATGATATGAATAAATATCCACTGAATGGGTGGCAGTGGATCTTAGTCTATTTTACCTATCCAAATTCTACCCCTTAAAGAATTTGGAAAGGTAAAATAGAGATGTTTCAGAAAGAAGAGTAATGAGACAGCACAAGGCGAAACACATGAGAAGAATGGCATAAGAAGAGGTTTGGTGTTGAACATCATTCAAAAAAGTTGGATGAATAAATGAACCCACCAGGAACAGGCAGTGGTGAGAGAGTTGTGTAGGTAAACTGAGCTCCAAATGGATTGACACAGTAATTGTAGCAATGAGTTCAGATCTGTTGTTAATAGAGTTGCTGTGAGTAATGCTCAACTCAATGGCACCTAACAATAGCAACAATTAAAATTAAAAATCAAGAAAATAATACTAAACACTAAGAAAAGGAAGCAACTTTATAAAGAATACTTCAATAATATTGATGAGCTGAGGAGAAAAGAACAGATCAAAGACCAGAAATAACAACAGTTGGAAATGGAGTGATGAATTAGTAAGACTTATGGAATGGTTTGTAACTTAGTTTCTAGATACTTAGAAATGGTATCAGATCTGTAAGCACCTCAGTAAGTGTTGCCACCTTGTAAGATTCAACATAGAAGAGTCAACTTCACAAACACTTGCAATTTAATTCCTGAGTACATTTCTAGGTTTTGAAGGGGAATGAAGTTTAATTGTTTAGGTCTTTTTGTGGTAGTCTCAGTTCTGATTTAATTGTTTGCTATGACAGCAGTGGGTTATGTGTTGGCCCACTGCTAACCCAAAGACTGAGAGTTCAAATCCATCAGCTGCCCTCAGAAGAGTGACAGGAAGTTCCCTCAAAGATTCACAGCCTAAAACTCTGATGGACGGTCAATGAGTTCAAGTTAACTGGACAAGGAGTACTTTGGTTTGGATTTGAGGTATATGTAATTGGAATTTGTAGAAACTTCCTCTAGAATCTGTCCATTTCAATGAATCACACAAGTACTTACAATAATTTTAGCCGTTTCTTTTTTTACTTTGCATTCATTCATTGTTGCACATTTTCCTCCCTATTCACCCAGTTCACTTTTCTCTTTAAAAAGATTCTTTCATTGTTGCACAATTCCTCCTCTTCCCTCCCCAGTCCACTTTTCTACGCACCTCTTATTCTAGACTGTTGTAAGGCAGATAATACCTAGTCATATATTCCTTTTAAACCGTTCTTTCCCTTATCTGCTTCAATGCAGTGTACATTATTTATCCCCTCTTTTCTTAGTTTCCCCCCAACCGCCATGTCAGTCTTGTTTTATAACAGTGGCATTATGCAGTATTTGTCATCTTATGCTGAGATAATTCACTCAGCATAATGTCCTCCAAGGTCATCCATTTTGTATAATATTTCATTAGTTTCTTGTTTTTCAGTGCTGCATAGTATTCCATTGTGTCACTATACCACAGTTTCTCTATCCATTCATTTGTTAATGGGCACTTCGGTTGTTTCCAGCTCTTTGCTATTGTGAACAATGCATCAATGAACATGAGTGAGCATATATATGCTTGGGTGACAGTTCTGGTTTCTTTAGGGTATATTCCCAGTAGTGGAATTGCTGGGTCAAATGGTATTTCTATTTCCAAGTTTTGGAGAAAATGCCATAGTGCCTTCCATAGTGGTTGCACCATTTTACACTCCCGCCAACAGTGAATATATGTTCCAGTTTCTCCACAACCTCACTAGCATTTGTTATTTGCTGGTCTATTGAATTTTGCTATTATTACTGGCGTAAGATAATATCTAATCATTGTTGTTGTTATGTGCTATCGAGTCGCTTGTGACTCATAGCGACCCTATGTACAACAGCCCTAAACTCTGCTCTGTCCTGTGCCAATCGCACCATGTCCGACACACCCATCCCGATTATCCCAGTCACTGAATCAATCCACCTTATAGGGGGCCTTCTCCTTCTGCGCTGTCCCTCCACCCTACCAAGCATGTTGTCTCTCTCCAAGGACTTGTCCCTCCTTACAACATGTCCAAAGTATGTTAGACGGAGCCTTAGAATCCTTGTTTCCAGGGAGCCTCCCGGTTTGACCCTTTCCAGGATGAATCTGTTTGTTTTCTTGGCAGTCCAGGGTACCCTCAATACTCTTCTCCAGCACCACAGCTCAAAGGCATCAATTCTCTTTCTATCCTCCTTAGTCATTGTCCAACTCTCCAATGCATAACAAGTGATAGTAAAGAACATGGCCTGTATCAGACGCACCTTAGTCTCCAAAGAGACACCATTGCTCTTCAGTACTTTGGAGAGGTCCCTAACAGCAGACTTTCCCATGGCAATACGTCTTCTAATTTCCTGGCTGCTGGTGCCGAGACTGTTGACTGTGGAGCCAAGCAAACTGAAGCTGTGAACAATCTCAATCTCTTCACCATCCATTCTGATGCTGCCAGTTGGCCCAGTGGTGAGAATCTTTCAATCCATATTGGAGGCTGCAGTCCTTGACCCTCTGCAGCAAGCGCTTCAGGTCCTCCTCAGTTTCAGCAAGCAGGGTTGTGTCATATGCATATCGCAGATTGTTGATAGATCTTCCACAAATCTTGACCCCACATTTCTCCTCATAGAGCCCAGTCTCCCAGATAATCTGTTCTGCATACAAGTTGAAAAGGTATGGAGACAGGACACATCCCTGGCATATGCCCTTCC